TTTTTAAATCATGTCTTTACGTACATAATATTTACATGTGACAATATTCAGACACATACATCGTTTTTTGTGAGGTGTAAACTGATTACTTGTTGTGGAACTGGTTCTAACTATAATCCAAATATTATCAGATATATAACTAGAAGGGTACTCGTGCAATGCAGCGAGATACATCTTGATTTTAATATTTTATTTTATTCTTTATCTCAGTCAATGTTATAATACGGTCTTATATGATTTTGAAAAAATGATGATATTTTTATTTTTGAATAAAATATAAATTTAAAATTATCATAAAATTTTGACAAAAATATATCGATATTAGTATCAAATTAACTATTTAAAATTCATATTTATGTGTAATTTTTTAATTCAATTTTTTTATTATAATTTAATTTAGATTCAATTTACGAAATAATTTATATTTGGTTTAATAATATAATTTTCTTATAAATATAATAATTAATTATTTCGTTAGAACTCGATAACTATTCTAATTATATTTTAGATTTTTTATATTTTAAAATGAGATGTTTATCTTATATTTGATTATGTTTAGCCTCAGTTAGCTACACGAATTCAAACATGAAGCTTTAATAAGTTATATATATGCATAATTTACTTATAATATTAAATTTTAAATAATATATATCAATATACATTACTTCGTGTAAATAATGGTTTTTAAGAGTTTTTGTCAAATACTTTATAATATAATATAGATATATATTTCTTCTCGAGCCGGAAAAATATACCTAATTTTATATGGAAAATATTTACACTTTAGAACCTAATAAAGTTGGATGTTGATATAATAAACAAATCACTATTTTAAAAATGTGATAAAATGATTTTTCAAAAAATTTATAATTAACCATGTGTAAATTTATATAATAAAAATTATTGTAAATATGGTATATATATATTTTTTTAATTATACATATTTTTGGAACAATTGTACCGACATCCTCAGGTTCATTTAAAACATGTTATATATGATTCAAATAATATCTGTTTTTTATCATATAATATTTATATACGGTAAATAAAACAAATAAACTTATACATCTTTGTTATCTTTAGTGAGGTTTGAACTTTTGACCTCCTAAGAGGCCAAAAAACTCACATACCAGTATACCATTAGTGATGGCCAAAAACCGATCCTGAGCCGAGCCAGGTGGTCTTTACTGGTCCCACGCCTTAATAGTGCCGGTCATAATCAGTCCTGGTCAAAAATACTAAGCCCGGTTAAGCATTTCTATAACAGGTTATGGTTGGCCAGTCCCGACCAAAAAAAAATATTTTTTAATGATAGAGTTTTTAATACATTATAAAATTTGTAATTAGGTCACTCAAATACAATTTAAAATGCGTTTTATTATAGCTAAAACCGAGAATTATGAACGTTTTTTTGTGTTTCGTAAGTTGATATGTAAATCCTTCAACTATGACACTTGTATATAGGGTTTAAAGGGAAAAAAAACCAAAAAAGGGGACATATAACGACTATATTTTTTTAAAAAATGACTACTTTTTTAAAAACCGGGCCGAGCCCATAACCAGTCATGATCCCTTGGAACCCTCCAAAACCATAACCATTTCCAGTCGGCGGTCCTATAACCCTTTGCCGGTCCCGGTCCGGGCCGGTTTGGCCATCACTACATACTGTTAGGCCAAAAGACCATTTGGTAACAATATCTATCATTTTCGAAAAGTAAACATACCATTTTTATAAAATGTCACCAACAGAAATGAAACACTGATTTTTCACACAAAATCTATTAAGGTCATGTTTGGTTTATGGGATCAGATAGGAATTGGAATCCAATTCCATTCAAAACCCATGTTTGGTTTGAGGGATAATATGAATTTGAAATCCCACAAACATGGAATTTAGATTTCCCAACGGGGGTAGTTGGTATTTTGCAGGACTTGTTTGTAATAATGTTTTAAAATATGTTAAAAACACTTGTTTTATAATGATAAATTAATAAAACGAAATTCTAATTATTTTTATAATTATTTATATTTATAATTTGTTTTTATAAATTATTTATATTAGATTTTAATTAATTTTAAACATTATTACAAAATTTATATTTAATTATGTGCACATTTTTTAAATTATTATTTAAATTTTAAATTATTATATAATTTTTAAATAATTTTTAAATAATTTAATAGTGAAGTACTTGACAAACCAAAAGCGAAACGAATGTACGGAACCCAAGGAGATCATAACCGCTAAATTATACAATTTATTAAAAATAAAATATATTTATTATATATAATCCAAAATTAAAATAAGATAGCGTATTAAAAAATAGTGAAGTCCCTTGATGGGAATAAAAATAAAAGAATACAAACCATGTGAAAAAAGACAAACCCCACTACCATTTATTTTCTAAAGATATGGTGATGATGATTTTCTAAAGGTTGGGTTTCGATGAGAAAATAAGTTATGGTAAAAAGTATAAAAAAAGATATTTATTTTTATATCAACTATAATTGAATATCAACACTAATGAGGTGTATCGAGGTACACCAGATCTATTTCCTTCTAAAACATAATTCATGGGTGGGTATAAGATTAAAAGTGATCAAATATTCAAATTTCTTCTTACGTTTCTCACAATAACTTATCTTCTCACACAATCCTTTGCCTATAGCCTACACACACACACACACACACACACACACACACACACATATATATATATATATATATATATATATATATATATATATAGCGGTGGTTTATTATACAAACCAACATATTCTTACAAATCATACAAACTAATTTCAACCGTCCATTTAGTTTAATGAATATATGGTTTCATAAATATCTTGATTATTTTCTAATACAAGCGTTACTCATAATTAATGAACCCTAACCATCTTTTATAAATATTCAGATCATAATAAAAAAAACTTTTATCATTTTCTTTATTATTTTAATTGATTGGTTTGTATAGTTTGTAACAATGACTTGGTTCGTATCTGAAACCTCTCTCTTTCTCTCATATGGGAGAGATGGAGATAGGGTTTCAGGGGAAAACATTAAATAAAAACTAGAATATATTTTTATCAACCAGTTAGTCTAGTTGATTTCATATATGCGATTAAATTAACAGTTACAACAATATATTTGAAATAAAAATTATCAGCCCCTATTTTTATAGAAAAAAAAAACTTGGGATCATGTAAGACCAAAGGTTTTTCATGAGATCCGTAAGACCAATTCTCAACTCTTGGATTACATCTACAATCTGAACATTCATAATCACAAAATTGTCACTAGGCTTCTTAATAATCACAAAATTGTCATCGTATAACTTTAGACCATTAGATCATTAGCTTATAAAGTTGATCAATAAACATAAATTGGTCTTATGGGTCTCACGAAAACCTTTGGTTTCACGTGAACCCAACCCTATATATATAATCATATATGTTCAAGTGAGTTTATGTATATCTTGTCTAATTCTAAGAGGTTTTGAAAACAACAACCAGATAAATTTACAGTAATCTTGAGGAGACTCATATTTCGGTGAACGAGGAAATACATAAATTTTGTCTAATCATGTAAAAAAAATACATTTTACGTAACTTTTATATACCAGTTGGACAAAAAAAAAATTACAGATATAAAAAGAATCTTAATCCACATAACACATAGAGCCCACCAATCATCTCTAACCATGCATTTATTATAATAATACGATCAGGGTTTAATTGAAAATTATAATTTATAAAAAAAATTAGAATCTTATTAGTTATTCAGTAATTAAGAACAATAATAAAAATGAAATCAACTTGTTCGCAGTTAAACTCGTTTAAAACTCTGACAAACAAAATGAGCGAGAGTCGAGTCGAAGGGACCCATGTAACCATCCAAATCAAGTTCGATATGAGTTTGACAGATTGACGAGCATATACAAGTCAAGTCTAAATAAAACATATCTATTAGCATTACTGAATTTAAAACATTCATATCTGATTTGAGTTTATACAGAACCGGGTTACTGCTTAAATTTATACTAACCTACTTAGTTTATAAAATATCATGCATATACAGTCAGATCTAGGGGTGCTCAAAACCCGACCAACTCAACGCGAAATAACTCAACTCGATGTGTAATTGAGTTGTAAAAAATTTAAACCGTAGGTATTGGTTGATATTGGGTTACTATTATTTGAACTCAACCTAACTTGATGAACCCGATAACCTTTTTCTTCTTGGATTTAATATGATTGTTGAGTTTCTATTAATATATACATTAGACAATTACAAATATCATATACTTTCTTCGTATACACGTATTTTTAATCTATTCTCCATATCTATATAAGTCATTTGTATATATGTTTACTAACTGTGAACATATATATGAAATGGTTGATGATGAAAAAGAAATTACGAGTAGAGAAATAACATATTCAAGGTTAGGAGAACAATTTAATGTACCAAAATATCAACTCGACCAACCCATATGGTTTGGATTGATTTGGGTTGCACTTTGGTTTGGTTTGGGTTGGGTTGAGTTAAGATTTTTCAAACTTCAAATATTGGGTTAGGTTGTTCAAATGTCTTCAACCCGACCCACGAACATCCCTAGTCAGATCTATCAATAAACACTGATTATTACTTAGAAGCCGGTTGAGGAATTTTTTATATCGATTATGTAAAAACAATAGAATCATTAATTTAACTTTCAACAAATTACATAAATTTGTTGCATCGCATCCGTTTAATTCTTCGTGGATGCCACACATTCAAAAAGGGTCCGTTATCCACCTAATGTCACCATCATAACAGTATTGACTCTCAGTATTTTGCATGAGTAACTCAGTACTTTTACGCGATATTTAGTATTATCTTTTTGACCCATCGAACTGATACAGAGCCAAGATTCTTTTAACCCAACGGAATCCGATATTTTGATTCGACCCCGTCAATCGTAAAAATATAAATTCGAAACCCGACAAAGAATTTTCAAAATTATAGATATAGTTTTATATATGTATAGATGACAACACTTCTTAACTTGCATATACCCTTAACAAATATGTGACAAGCCGAGGTTGTACTTGGGAACAACATAGTCAAAAAGTAAAAGGGGAAAAAAGGAGGGAAATCATTGAAAATTCAAAAGAAAAACCTAATAAAAATTATCCCCAAATCAAAGGGTAAATAATTTTGACTTTTTTGGTCAAAATTACGATCCAGATGTTTTATCTGGATCAACAACGAGAGCCCTTTCTGCATACGAGGGCTCCGGCATTGGTCGTCAGGGAGGAAACAATCGACGAGGGCCTCGCCCCGAGGCTTGAAGCTCTTGCGTAGCTAGACGAAGCTCCAGCACCTGATGCAGTGAAAAACGCACCGTTCAACATCAGGTCCCCCTCGGACCTCCAGTTCCAGTTTTTCCAGTCGTTTTCCGGTGCATCCTCGTGTTTCGTCACCTGCATCGTCCCAATTTCGATCAGCGAACAGATTTCTTTCGAAAATGGTTTGTGATTAACAGAAATTCAAACGGTCAAAAGAATCGGATTCTTGATATCCCGTTACCTCTTTGCTAAATCTTCTATCGGGTGCCAGAAATCTATTCCCTTGGCTGTTTATGGTCGGCGATGCACTTCCCCCGATCGCATACATCTCCCAATGGGTGTAGTCGTTGTTCACCACGTGAAAATACCCGTGTCGGCATCTGAAATTAACGAGCCGAAATCGTCAAGATTCAAGATTTCGGATCCGGGCATATTACTAACGTATTTGGGTATCTACCGAAAAAAGTGTTGGTAAGAATAAAATCCACTTTTATGTACCCAAAGATTTGATTCGGATATCGAGAAAGATTGCGATTTTGACCGTTTTGGTGGTTATAAATTACCGAAATAAATATCTGTATAAAAATTTGGTATAAATGAATAGTGTTAAATACCTGGGCATTCTTTGGACCAAACCTTCACCAAAGTGATTAAAGGCAATTGTGATTTGCATGTTCTTGTCTTGATGATAAGTGTCACTATGACCTAAAAGCATAACTTTATCATGGTGGGTCATGAAATTGTTCGATATCGTAATCGCGGTGGACCCCATGATCGCATCGATCAGGCCGTCAGCGCAATTCGATAACGAACAATGGTCGACCCAGACATGGCTTCCGCCGAATATCGAGACGCCATCGCCGTCAGATATCGTCCTCCACCCGAAATGCCGTGGGGAGCTTCGCACCATCGCGTTACCGCCCTGCTTGCAATCGTGAATGTTGATCCCGTGGATGATGATGTTCGTGACGTACTGTATCGTAATGCACGGTCCGCCGGCGATGTGCACGCTCGCGCCACGGCCGTCTATCGTCTTGAAGCTGTTCATGATCAGCTCTTCTTTTAGTTTGATCACCATGTCGCGCTGGAAAATGATCCAGAGCGGCTCGTCTTGGATGACGGCGTGTCGTAGAGTCCCGGGTTTCGGGTTCACGGCATCGTCGTCGCCCGAATCAGTAACAATGTAGATTTTCCCGTCTCGGCCGCCGACAGCTCCTTTCCCGAAGCCAATGGCGCAGTCGGCCAATCGTTGGCGGTTTTTCTCCCAATTGCTGTCGCACCGCCAGCAGTCGTCAATGGGGTTTCCTGTCCCGCAAGACAGGAAACCAAGATTCCTCCGGGAATCATTCAAGCTCCTACAGAAACAGAAACAGAAACACAAACAGAGAAAGTTGAAATTAGCAGAGAGAAGAGAGAATGCATATGGGTGGTGGAGAGTGGTGGTGGTGGAGGTACCTCTGTACTTGTTGTACGGTGTGTTGCGGGTGTTGTACGGCGGCGGAGGAGGAGGCGGTGGTGGTGGTGGGGGAGAGGAGGGAGAGGAGGAGGAGAGAGAGAAACATGGTTGTGAGAGTGTGTGTGTGGGGTAGTGTGTGTTTTTGGGAGTGTGTGATTATGGGGGAGTGGAGGGGGGGAGATATATAAAGAAGAAAAGGGAACGTAAGTAGTGGCGTGATTAACTGAATTTACGGTAGAATCTTTCTCTTTCTTATGGTAGGTTTTGGTCGTTAAATCTTTCTCTCTTCTCTCTCACACGTACACACACAAAATAAATAAATAAATAAATATATATATATATATTATATGACTTAATCAAATGTGAAATAATTAGTTTGTGTTAGATGTGAGATTCAATGTAAGCCAATTATTTAAAATAAATAATATTTTTTTTAAAATAAAATAGATAGATAAATTAGTAATTTAGGTTGATTATTTAATTTATAATTAGTTTATTCTAATTTAATTTAATTAGATTAATTACTTCAATTTACTATAATTACATTGCTTATGGTGTGCATCACAATAGTAACTAATTCTCTCTTGAATGACTCCCCCCCCCCCACACACATATATATATACACACACACACAACGAAGGTGTCATAGTGGTATTACAGTTGGTATCATAGTGGTCTCAAAATTTACTTGATGTGTTTTGGATATCACATTGTATGTATTTTGGGTATCACATTGTGTATCTTGGTATATTTTGGGTATCAATAGTGTTTGCCGAAATAAAATTTACCGGAGGCCGGAAGTAGGAGAGAGAAAAAAATTTAATACGTTAAAATGCCATTTAATTAAAATTTCAAGTCAAATTATCAAAAATATTAGTTTCTTAATATATTCATTGATTTGTGGTTGAAATTGGATTTCACAGATATCACAAAATAACCAGTTCTCCTTTGAATGGACACCTATGTATATATATATATATATTTAACTTAATCATTTGAAAATTGTAAAATTTGTGAAATCTGTAAGAACTTCTATCTTATGGTTTTATTCCGTATGATTTTTTTTCCCATTTAAATATAATATTTAATGTTTAGTTAATATATGTTTGTTTTACAACGTGTTTTTTCATATGTATTTGTTTCAATGTGAATCATTTTTACGCGTTTTTTTTGTTACACAAACACGTAAAAAATGTTCACATTGTGAACCAAGCATATGTGATATAAACACATTGTGAAACAAATATATGTTAATCAATATTCTAAATTCTAGTGTTAAAAGAAAAAGATCATATGAAATAACACATGATACACAAGTTCTGAATGTTATCACAATTTCATAAGTTGTCAAAGAAGGTACCCACACACACACACACACACACACATATATATATATATATATAGTATACACCAGAAATGGTGTGAGAAGTAGAGTTAAGATGAGAAATATAAGAAGGAATATGGACTCTTAATCACATTTAATCTCAAATTGACTCATGAATCGCACTTGATACATGGATTGATCTGGTGCATCTCATCCTAATGTGCATCCAAAGGTAACGATCCCTCTTTACGCTTCTCAGCTTAACTCTCGTTCTCACCGAAAACCAACTCTATTATATTATATAAATCCATACATACATACATACACGATATTCGTACTACTCATTTCAACATCAAGAAAATCTAATGGATCAATAAATACAGATAGCAACGTTGTTTCTAAACTAGATTTATAGACAATTAACTATTAAACATCTGAATTTGTAAGATCATGCATCAGATTATACAATAATAAATCAGATAATGCAACTTGATTTTCATTCAGTCATTAAATTAATAATTAAAAACCATTTTTATCAAACACGTCGACCTTAATTTTACTACACGACTTTGGCCATGCACACATGATTGTCTGGTATAATTATATACATACACGTTCAACAGTTTTATAACAATCAGGATGTGATATTTATGTGAATTCCGTTACGTTTGAAACCTTATTGTCTATTCGTTGGATTGAATGGTTGCAATTAATACAAGATAAGCCTAAATTAATACAGTGAAAAAGAAAACCGATTAGATCGCATGCAGTTTAAGCCATTCCGTGCAACATCATATCGTTCAATCAAGCAAAATCCGTTAAATTGAAGTTGCATGCACGTATACACAACTTCATATTACAACGCTAACTGTAAAGTCAAATCATGCTTAACGGAAGTGATTTTTCGACCATTTATTGTATTTATAGAAATTATGAAAACGAACTAAAAAACGAAACGAATCATAATTTGTATCTCTCCCTACTTCATATATATCAGTATTTTCTTACACGTCTTGCGTTTAAATAAATCAACTGCATAACAAGCATTAACAAATTACGTGTCAATGTTGAATCTTAAGATCTGCATAACACCGTTATATTTGACAGACGGAAACTTCTTTTGATCCTTACGCATTCGGGTTCAACCCCTAAAATATCCTACTTGTGGGCGTCATCGACTTTCAAGTTTTTAACCTGATTAATAAAGTTACACGTCTTATGTATTCAGTCAATGTATTTTTCAATACTCAGTCCTGACACTCATGATTCAAACGAGAACACTTTTTTACTATAGACAATCACATGTGATACTATTATTCCATCACATATTACACACATGTGATACTATTATTCCATCACATATTACACACATGTGATACTAAATTAGAGACACAGACGATTTTTGATGCGATCTTGGTTGCGGGCCTAGTCGTCCTTACACCACTAAGCTCCTTCACAAGTATTACCACACATGTGATAAGTGTGTTGTTGATATTATACTATAATCCATCAATACCATCACATGTGATGCTAAATCATAGACGCATACAATCTTTGGCACGACCTAAGTCGTAGAACACGTCGTCCACACATCACAAGGTCCCCTCACGCGTATTATCAGATGTGATAAAGGGTGTTCTCGTAAAATGGAGGTGCTCTCGTTTGAACCTCCATCTATATATATAGGAGCGATCAAATGCAAACCACCCATATTTGTACAAACCGTGCAAATCACCCTCATCCGTCAATTTCATTGTTTAATCTTAAGAAAAAATTTCATTAAATTGTTTCATATATGATTATGAAATTTTAATGAAACTATTTCATGTATTCCTCTAAAAAATTAATGTAATATTAATGATTAACAGCATCCACAAACAAAATGATTAATCAACCTCTTATAATTACAAAAAAAATAAACAAAATAAAAAATTATTGATTGGTTGAATGAAGTTTGTACGGTTTATACAAATAACGTGGTTTACAAAGTAAACCTTCTCTTTATATATAGATAGATGAGAAGGATTGTTGAATGTTCTCTTTGACCATTTTCATGTTGGGTGGTTCCAATTGATCGTATACTCAAACCAATCTTGTAGCCCTGCTTAGGACCACCAACTCCTAACCGTTTTCAATTTTAACTGCTCGTGGGGCTTTAAAATTGGTTCGAGACAGGACCAAATTTCTCAAATGGTCCTTCGTATTAAATTCTGAACGTCAATGCTAACTAGTTGTAATGTACTACTACTATTATTTGTTTGTAATTATATATATATATATATATATATATATATATATATATATATATATGGGCTTAATTATTTGAGTCTATAGAATTATGATAACCTTGAGAACTTGTGTATCATGTGTTGTTTCATATGACTTTTTTTTTGTATCTAGGCATAGTATTTAATGTATTGATTAACATATATTTGTTTTACAATGTGTTTGTTTTATATGTACTCGTTTCACAATGTGAATTTTTTTTTATGTGTATTTGTGTTTCACAAACACTCAAAAAAGTTTTAGATTGTGAACCGTGTACATATTAAGGAAACATATTGTAAAACAAATATATATGTATATGTATATACATATATATATATATATATATATATATATATATATATGTAGGAGCTTATTTAAGGAAGAACTGATTAGTTTGTAGTAACCATGAGATTCAATGTGAACCACTTGTTTGAAATATTTTTGACAACTAATCAAAATATTTAATTAAAATTTTAGAAAGAAATATTTAATTAAAATTGTATACATGGGTATCACAGTAATATCGTTTGTAGGTATCACAATGTGTATCTTGTGTTCACATAAGGTTCATCGGAATAAGATTCGTCAAAGAGAGGAAAGACGAGAGATGATATTTATAAAATCTCTAAAATTCCCTTAATTAATATTCTAAATTAAAATTATCAAAATTATTGATTACCTAATTTAACCTTTGATTTGTGGTTGAGATTGAATCTCACGGTTACCACAAACGAAAAAGCTCTCGTTTGATTAGGTTCATATTCATATATATATATATATATATAGCTATACATATATAATACAATTATACAAACATACATATATCTACACACACATATATATACGTATGTATATACACATATATACGTATGTATACACACACACACACACACACACATATATATATATATATATATATGTAGACATGGGATTATGTGAGACCAATGGTTTTTCGTGAGACCCATAAGACCAATTCTCAACCATTGGATTAGATTTATAATCGTCGGATTTGAGCATTCATAAATGCCAC